ATATTTCTCTAGTAAATAAAAATAATATGACATGCAAGTGATCCGACATGTTAGAATTGTGAAACTCTGCCTCACTTACTCAGTCATTTTCGATGACCGCCTATCTTTTCGAGTCGCGGACGTAGACGCGTCAGAAAGGCTTCAATATTCCAGATCCTGTAACACACTTCTTCCATGTATTTGCACTAGGTTAATCTTGGCCGTTCCCTGGGCTTTCTGCCCATCGGTTTCGCGAGAAACAGTAGCTTAACCTTCCTTTCTGGAGGCATTCGCAACACATGCCCACACCATCGCAGCTGTGACTTTCAATCTGGAGAAGCAAAGGCTGTACACCATGGATCTCCCGGATGTCAGTATTCCGGGCCATGTCGAGACGCGTAAGGCCAGCGACTCGTCTCAGAATGCCCATTTCATCCGATTGTACCCTGAATAGAAGCTTCTCAGTCATTGTCCACGACTCATGACCGTAGGTAAGCATGAGAATAAAGATGGACTTGAACACCGAGAGCTTAGTTTCCAAACTGAGCTCTACTTACGTCATAATGGTTCCGGCTTGTTCACGAAGAACGCTACTGGCTACTCCAATTTGCCGGTCGATCTCTTCCTCCAATTTTTCATCCCTGCTAATTACAGTTCCGAGGTACTTGAACTTCTCCACCTGCTTTACTGCCTCTCCCTTAACCTGAGGGCACGATAACGAGCAAGGACTAGGCTTTCGTTTTAGATGCGTTCACACGCACACCGGTCACGTCGCACCCGCCTTCGAACCTTCCCAGGAAACGCTGAAGATCAGTTTCAGAAGCTGATAACAAAACAAGGTCATCTGCAAACAGCAACCTTCTCGTCTCGAAATTTACTACACTGACACACTAACAACCGTGACTTCGACTGACTATTCCGTTTATGTACAACACAACAATGACGGGACAGAACGCAGCCTTGGCGGAATCCAATGCCCACAATGAAACGTCTTAACTTGATGCCATTTACTCTCGCACAGCACCTGCCATCAAAATATAGTCAGTGGAATGCCTCATCAAGTGACCATGTGTTTTCATGCATGACCATAGACTGATGCGCGGGATCCGGTCATAGGCGTTTCTGAAGTCCGCAATGCAGTGTAAACCCGATGAGCGAACTTCCACGTTTTCTAAACAGTCTGGAATAAAACGAAAATCTGCTGAGGGGTGCTTCCTCATGTTGTGAAGCAACACCGCTCTTCTTGTTCATTGACACAGATAATCCACTGACCTACTTTTTAACATCTTTGTTTGAACTTTACTTGGTAAGCTCAATAAGGTAATGTCCCGATAATTTGAGCAATCTCTACGGTCTCCCTTCTTGAACAGATGCACTGCAACTCACGTTCTCCAGTCCGCTTGTGTCTTCCCGTAACCACTGCAGTATGACGTGAAAACTACGACGTGCATTGTTTACTTCAAACCTTAAGCACTTAACAACAGATTTCATAGATTCTAACAGACATGCCACTCTTCAGGCATTTTACAGCTTTTGTGACATCATCTGCTGAAAAGCTAACTTCCGTTATCTGTTGCTCTTCAGGCGAGTCTTCCTGCGGTTGCTCGAAGTTAAAACTTTCGTCACTTTTCTCTATCACCGAAGTATGTCCTCGTACTAGGTAAGATGGTGCCCAGCCTAGAGGCCGCGGATGATGTCTCAGAATATCTGGTTTTCCGGCTGGAAAATTAACTCTTTATCTTTAGGAAACTTTATCGATGAGTCATCTTTCGCTTTGTTCGCCGGTTTCTCTTCAACCTTGCGCGTTTCATTCTGCTGCCGTCGACTTTAAGACTTTTTACTTCGAAACTATCTCCTGAGTGCAGCCTTCTTTTCGCTGGCAGCCAGTGAAACCTCTCGTATTTACCAGGAAGTTCGTTTCTGACCTTCAGGTGGCAGGCCTACTCGTTCTTAACCAGAGTATTAGATGACAGTCCGAAGTAAGCGCTCTTATAAAGCTTCTGCTCTGTTTTAACATCAGTGGTCCTCACTGGAATCCGTTAAAGCTGAGGGGTGAAGTGTTGACCAGTTTTGCCATCGTATCCGCAAGAGGTATTGTTTCTCATTTGATGCTCTGGTTGTCTCTGCCACCAGGTCTTCGCGAAGTATTCTGTCGTTTACAGCGGATAGTGTCAATAACATGATGATGCTCGGTTGATAGCCATACTCCAATCTTAATGCAAACATTCATTATAGAGGGTCGTAAGTCAGACATTACAATTATCAAATTAATTATTGATTTCTCTGCACATACTTCCCCATACGAGGTATGCTGATGCATGACTCGATGCTCGATGAAGGTGTTCATAATAGACAATCGGTTGCTTGCTCAAAACTGCAGCAACTTCATTCCGTCATTGCTGAGGTCGTTGGGGTACCAAGATTCAATCGTACCTTTCTGCTTTCCAGTGTCTCTTCCAAAATGAGCATTGAAATCACCCATTGGATTGGTTCCATTGTCACCGTTTGGTATCGATCACCTACTTTTTTCAGGAAGGACTCATATTCTCCCTCCAAATTGGGCGCATAGATCAGTAAAAAAGGTCACAGCTCTATCATGTAACTTCAGGTGAATTATTTACACTCTTCCAGCGACAGGCAATTTAAG